TAAAATGCCTGCAGTGAGTGTTATTCACTAGCCCCATTAAGAGGTTTGACACTGAACACCACCTCTGGGATAATGTTCATCATCCTCATATGCTTCTCCATTATAATGGCGCCGTCTTTCCTGATTTGGATCAAAGTCCACCAGTTCTACCTGATCCATTTCATCAGTCTCTTCCACTTCCTTCCTCTCAGGTGGGAGTTTTTCCAGCAAAGAGAGTTTGTCAGGAGACAGAAAGCCATTTTCAGGAAAGTTTATCTTAAACTCGACAATTAGGCGACCCTTTTCATATGGTCTACGATAAATTGGCATACCTTCATTTAGCACACACTTTATATCTCCATGCTTGACAACCTGACCTGGATGAGGTGGTGATGACTATGGTTCGATTATCAAGAGTAGATATTGGCTTCTGGAAGCCACATAATGCTTCCACCAGCTGTATGTCCATACACATGAAAAGGTCTTCTCCATGTTGAGTAAAAACAGCATGGTCCTTCTGATCTAATACAATGATAATATCTCCTGGTTCTAGTCCTGGCTCTTGGTCTCCTTCACCATGGAATGTTATCTTCTGTCCATCTTTCATGCCTTTGTCAATATGAACTTCCAGAATCTTCTTCTCTCGAACTATCTTCCTTCCATTGCAGCTTTTACATCTATCTTTAGGACCGATCCGTTCCCCATGGCCCTGGCACTCCATGCACACAGACTGAATTTGCTGAACCATTCCAGGTCCTATCTGATGAATTCTTATTTGCATTCCAGTACCTCGGCCGTTGGGACAGCACTCTACTGCTCCTTTCTTACCACCTCGGCCTTCACATTTGTCACAAATCACATTCTTTTGCAGAGCCAGTTTTCTTGTTGCACCATTATATAAATCTTCTAATGTTACTGAGAGCTGGTGCACAACGTTTTTACCTCTCCTTTCTCTCTGCATCCTTCCTCCTCCTCCAAAAAACATATCAAAGGTGTCCATTAGGGAGCCAAAACCACCACCTGCTCCACCCTCCTTAATTGCCTGTTCTCCTCCTTTGTCATATAATTCCCTTTTCTTGGCATCAGAGAGAACTTCATAAGCTTGAGAAATCTGTTTAAACTTTTCACCTTCATTTGGATTCTTATCAGGGTGGTACTTCAAAGCCAGTTTTCTATAAGCCTTTTTTAATTCTTCCTGGGTGGCACTGGGTTTGACCCCCAAAACATCATAGTAAGTGGTTTCTTTCACCATTTTCTACAGCCGGTGAGCGGGCTGGGGTCGTTGTGAGGGAGTGGGAAGGAGCGCGTAACTGTGTGCAGCCCGGGCAGCCGCCGCTCCTCCACCCCTCACCGAGCGTTCTGGAAAGTTCCTGGCCTAGAACTTTCAATTCTGCCTCAGCCTCTGGAATAACTGGGGGGTTTAGGTGTGTGTCACTATGACTGGTTCTCACAATATTTTATACTTCACTTCTGATCACCAAGATGTGTGGATTTTTCCTATACTGAACAATTCTCTAACACCAACTCGGTGTCCTATAATACAATTCAATTCTGACACTATCTACCTGGACTTAGCACCAGATCCCACAGGTTTAGGGTCAGTCTCACAAAACTTCCCTGCCCTCAAATAGATACCAGTAATAAGTCCAGGGCTATGATACTTCTAATTGACCGGCGATAAAGTAGAGGGTCTCACAAACCTCTCCAATCAGGGGTGGGGTTGTGGCTCAGTGGTAGAGCACTTGCCTATCATGTGTGAGGCACTGGGTTCGATTCTCAGCACCAATATAAATAAATAAATTAAATAAAGATCCTTCAACAACGAAAAAAAATTTTTAAAAAGTCTCCAATCATTTGTTACAAGAACTCACAAGACTCAGGGAAACTCTTTGCATATATTTACCTTTTAACATAAAAGGATCCAACTCAAGAACAAACATATCAAAGAGATAGACAGGGAAAGACTCCAAAATAAGGAACACTATAGTGATTGATTTGGGGCGATTTGTCCCTCCCCACTCTGGGACATTTGACAATGTTTAGACACTTTTTTTCTTTTTTTGCAGTGCTAAGGATCAGAACTCAGGGCTTCATGAATTTGAGGAAAGTGTTCTACAACTGAACTAAAGCCTCAGTACCCAGAAAAACTTAAAATGCTAAGAATGAAGGGCTGGAATATAGCTTGGTGGAACAGTACTTGCCTATCATGCATGAGGCTCTGGTACCCAGGAAAAAAAATTCTTAAAATGCTAAGAATAAATTTAACAAAATATGAGCAAGTTTTATATGTATGCTACATAATTTTCCTAAGGGACATAAAGTAAATCCAAATAAATAAAGATAAATAAAGATAAAAGAATGTTCCTGAAAGTAAATCTCAGTACTGTAAATAGATTTATACTTTGCAAATTAATTTATAGTCAATGTAAATTCAATCAAAATACCAAAAGGAATCATAGGAAACTTGGTAAATAAATATAAAATTCATATGTAAAATAAAAAAGTTCAGGTTTTATGGCGATATGAAAGGCTGGCCATTTCCTCTCCATAAATATCAAGGATAAAACTGGATAGAATTATCAAAAACAATCATTTTAGGGCACTGGAAATTAACCAAAGGAAAACTGCAAATGGAAAAGTGTTTATTTAGAGAAAAATGACAAAGTTATAGATTAGAACAAAGGGAAGCTGTGTCCTGCCTGAAAATGCTCCTAACTACTTACTTCTAGCTAGGATGATGAGCCGGTCAGTTTTACCAACATGACGTTAGCAAAAAAGAACCCAGCAGCTTTGTTGGCAAAAGGTATGACTCATTTCTGAGTGAGGGAGCAAAAACTTGTGGCTTTGCCCTCTTCAAGTGTGTCACCCTCCAGGAAGCCCCACATGTCCAGCCATCTGGGAGCTCTCCAAACCCCACAGAGTTTTTGTGGAGACTTTAAATAAATTTTAAAAACAAGAAAAGAGCTTTTAAATTGTTACTCCTATTCTTACAATAAGAAAAAGTTGGAAAAACCAAAAGTCAAGTTTTCTTGGACTCATAAGAAAAGTGAAGTTACAGAGCAAATTATTACCCTGCAATAAGGAGAAAGAGGTTGAATCTAAGAAAAACAAAATGTCTATTTTTCCTCTCATCAACACAGACTTCTAACATCAGATGTGTAAGAATTTTTCCCCACCAGCAAGTGAGCAATCAGTTTTGCGTCTGGGTGTTCTTTAATCCTGTTCAGTTCTGATACTATCTACTTAGAGATAGCATCAGATGCCATAGATTGACACCCCACCCCACTCCATTACTTTAGATGTCATCACAAGCCCCAGGTGGTCTTTACCTGTGCTTCTGACCTGTGAAGGGTCCAAATAATTTGCTCAAGCTGCTCACAGAACTTGGAGAAACACATTTACCAGTTTATCATAAAGAATATTA